TGCCTCAGCCTCCCAAGTAGCTGGGACTACAGGTGCCCGCCACAATGCACGGCCATTTTTTGGTTGCAGCCATCATTGTTGTTTGGCGGGCCAGGCTGGATTCGAACCTGCCACCTTAGGTGTATGTGGCTGGCACCTTAGCCGCTTGAGCCACAGGCGCCGAGCCTTTCTTGGTTGCAGCCATTGTTGTTTGGTGGGTCGGCGCTGGGGATTCGAACCTGCCACCTTAGGTGTACGTGGCTGGCGCCTTAGCCGGTTGAGCTACAGGTGCCGAGCCGATCTCACTCTTATTTAGGCTCAATTCCTGAGCTCAGGTGATCTGCCTGCCTCAGTCTCCCAGAGTGCTAGAGTTACAGGTGTGAGCCACTGCGCCCGGCCACAACATACAAGTTTCTGCAGAGTGCACATCACTTTCACGCCATTGTAAGGTTGAAAAATTGTACATTGAACCATCATAAGACAAGGACTGCCTATGTCAGTTATTCTGACTTTCTATTTCTTCTTATGTTTTCTAGGGATTTGTCCATTAAGTCTAAATTTTCAGATATGTTGGCATATTATTCATACTCTCCTCCCACCAGAAACTTAAGAACTGCTTTAAAATGTGATTTTCATTGGTCCAAATGCGTTACAAAATATATAATCTTTTAATCTTAAAATGAAAAGGCAGATGGCATCTGCACTTTATTTGCTAAAATGCCTGAATCTGATTAGCAAGTTCTCTTACGGAGTTTAGAGACAGAAAGTCCAGAAACACCGTAATGTGTAACAGGTCAGTCCTAGACCGACCAGGGGCCACATCTCCTGACTCTCATACCACAAGGCCAGAGCAAGCTGGATGCAGGCCCCGTGCTCTCCAGGGCCTCCGGAATTCATCTTGAGTTTGGGATCTGGGGAATAGATCAGCCACAAGGACCCTGTACTACTCTCATGTTTGCGAGCTAGGCCAGCTCATTGTCCGTTCCAAAGAGGCTGAACCTTTTGATCCTATCTTCATGTTTTAGTAGAAATTTGGTAGAAATGTCCAGTGTGTTGGCTCAGCATCTGTAGTTCAGTGAGTAGGGCACCAGCCACATACACTGGAGCTGGTGTGTTCG